CCCATTTGCCTTATGATATTTCGTTTTCAATCTACATAGCTTATGATTTTTTTATTAATGAATTGAATCATTCATTTGTGAAAGCAAAATACATTACAACTCACACCCATTCATAAACTGCAATGACTTACTAATTGTAATCGTGCAAATCACTATTATACGATCTTAGTTTATAAGTTATCGGTGAAAGTTGCAATAAAATTGTTTTGATAGTTCAAGATGATAATTAAAAACGGTAATATTGCTGTTAATCAACGACTTAAAATTTAGATAAAAAAAAGCGACAAAGTTACCAAAAAATATTATAAATTAGATTGTTTATGCCTTTAGAAAAAAAGAATTACAATACCACCAAGTAATTTGATTTGAAACTAAATCTAAAACATCCACCTGTTTTTAACTTGCTATGCCGGCTCAGATTCTACATGGGCCTAACTTTCAAAAGCCATATATCAAGCCCATCAGTTATAATTTTATATTGATATAAATGTGAGCATTTAAAATAAAATAGTTACACACTATACACAGAAGTTAAAACTTGCATTAGGCACAAATGAAAAATTTCCTTATGAATCGGAGAAGAAAAAATTTGATGAAAGTTTCAACAAATGCGTAAAATATATATAAGTTACTAGCAAAACATAGAGTGACGAATTACTGTAACAATACAAAACATCTTTCCTTTCTTACAATCTACAAAACCGTTTTTTTGTTTTCTTGACATTTATGCATAACCGGCCATACCGACATTCGAACCCGATCGGTTTGCTTTGTGAGCAGGCGGCGAAGAGATAGATTTGGTAAAGTACATGTAGTAGTAGACATTAAGGACCATAGTGGCAACTATAAACACCGCCCCTGCGATGAAAATTCCTTTACGCAATGATTCACACGAGAAGGTTTGCGCGCTTAAGTACTTTGTGTGGTATGCGTTCTTCGTTGCTCCTGCTATTAAACAAGCTTCTGCTATCAGAAATGTCAGCCTGCAATTGTCAAAACATAAATCAGAAAAATCAATCTTAAGCTCTTAAACGTAGAACACTAAACTTGAAGATCCGTTGTGTTTAATCGCATCAGCAACTACGAAACAAAAAGGCGGAAACATAGGTTTTGATTTAAAGCTTTGATGGGACTCACCAAGAAGAGATGAAGTAGATAATAGACCAAGCACGGTCGCTTCCCGGGGCTAAAGGTCTACCAAAACACATGCATTTGGTGACACCCATAAGCAATGATTCACTCGAGAGGAGGAAAAGGAAAGCTCCAACACCATAACCAGTGGCTACATCAGAGCTATAAACACAGTACGTTGCGTTTGTTATTGGGTCTTGGAGAGTTTTTCCCTGTCACAAAAAAAAAAAAAAGAATAAATCTCAACTCTCAAGTGTCAAAGATTAACTCAATCTACAGTTAGTTCCATAGATTTATCTCAAATCTCATCTTTCAAAGTGTTAAAATTTTCCCCAATTTTAAGAATCTAAAGGAAGTCAAAACCAGAGGAATCTAAAGAAAGATTTCGCTAGAATATTGCAAGAAGTAACTCTAATTACGGAAACTAATCCAGCAACAGAAAATCATCAACACATTCATTACTAATCAAGCTTTTAGAAACCCTAGCGGG